ACACACACACACACACACACACACACACACACACACACACACGCAAAGTTCAAACATGTAATGAACAATTACAGTCAAGAAAGCTGGAAGGGGACACTTTGAATTCGTTTCATAAGGACAACATCAAACTTGTGATCTCAAAGGGTAACAATGTGAGAGGTGAATAACTGATGACCTCTTTAAGTGAGCGCAGATGACAAAATCCTAAAGAAAATACTAACAAATTGAGAGAGAATGAAGTTTTAAAAAGGGACATGTGGGAGGTGGTGGTGCACTCCTTTAATCCCAGCACTCAGGAGGCAGAGGCAGGTGGATCTCTGTGAGTTCAAGGCCAGCCTGGTCTACGCATTGAGTTCCAGGACAGCCAAGACTGTTATACAAAGAAACCCTGTCTTGAAAAAGAAAAAAAAAAGTAGGGGGTGGGGTAAGACATAATCAAATTGAATTGATCCCGAGAATGCAAATAATAAAAATAATTCAGGACTGGGAATGTGGCTCAGATGGCAGAGTATGCGTGGAATCATGGGGTTCATCTCCAGCACTACTTAAACTAGGAATCTGGTGTATGCCTGTAATCCCAGCACCTAGGAGATGGAAGCAGCAGGATCAGAAGTTCAAGGTCATCTTCAGCTGCATAATAGGTTTGAGGCTAGTTTATAATCCATGAAACCCTGACTGGGAAAAAAAAACTTTTTTTAAATTTAAAAGTTGGAAAAAAAAACATGATTCCATAGATGCTGGCAGCATTTGGTGAAATTGACATGAATAAACTTCCAGGTAATTAGAAATAGAAGGGAACTGAGACAAGTTAGATCTACAAAACTTTCTCAGAAGTGTATTTGCTAAAGTAGCCAGCAACAGTCCTCTCTGCATGCAAACCCGTGGAATGCAGTGAAAGAGTGTGTCCAGCCACTTGCAGCCCTTGAGTTGAAGAGACCTGGCAGCCACTTCACATCCATCAGAACAGGTGCATCAAACCCCCAAAGATGGGGTTGCAAGGAAGACATCTTCTGACTGGAACTCTCCAGTACTGCTGCAGCCTGCGGATCTGCCCTTAGCCTCCTACTCTGCAGTCCAAATCAGCATCTTTGAAGGTGGGAGCTGAGGAGGGATCTGCCTGCTCTGGTCCTCCTCTGGGGCTGCATTGGTCACAGCTCTCTGTAGGGATGGAACATACAATGTGGGTTTGCTCACCTGTTGGGATGTGGGTTGCTTTTGTTTTTTGTTTGCTGCGAAGAAGTCCTCTCCAGAGTAGGAAACATAGGCACCAGGGTTGTGACCATTGTTAGGGCTCTTGTCTAGCAGCCCTGTACCACTGGACTCAGTTCACAGCTACAGGAAACCAAAAACCACAGGATCACCTTGACCTCTAGCAACTCACTTCGGAAAAACTGAAGTGAAACCTGGGAATTGAACAGATACCTGCACAGCCATCTTTTGTTTGTTTGATTTGGTCTTGGGAGATGGAACCCAGGGCCTCACAAACTACTTTAGTGCTCTGTCACAGAGCCATGCCCACCCCTGTGTCCATTTTCTCAGTAGCATTATTCACAAATAGCCCAAAGATGAAAACAACGCAAATGTCTGTCAGTAAAAAGAGACAATGTGACCTGACACACCGAAGAATATGAATCAACCTTCGGAACCGATGGCTCACCATCTCATAGGTGAGCCATGCACAGAAGAGTAAGGAGTGAGTCTACTTACAGGAGGCAGGCAGCATGACAGACTTGGTGCACCTGAGTTGCCATGTGTGTTTCTTTGTGGGACAGATCAGCCATCTGAGGAGGGGATGGCAGAATGAAGAGAAGGACAGATTGCCTTGTGGAGGAGGGCAAATGTTTTCCTCCTAAATCTGATGAGGTCTTAATGACCTCCTAGCCTCTAACACTTAGGAGTCGACACTGGATTTACACCTTTCTTTCTTTCTTTCTTTCTTTCTTTCTTTCTTTCTTTCTTTCTTTCTTTCTTTCTTTCTTTCTTTCT